CATTCCTAAGGTCACTTTCCTGGGAGTAAGCCTGACTGATAACATTGGATTTATTTCCAAGTAGACCTGCTTAAGATTGCTCCCGAAATTTATTAATCTCCTTCCTTTTTTGGTCATGTTGTAATGAAAGTGTCAGAAATGGAACACAGTCCTGCTGGATTTTCAATTTTGGATTTATTCCACATGGTGGCATGTGATGGTTGTTGGTCTTCAGATGTTGTAGCGGCCAAGCAAAATACTACCTTCTTTCCAAAGCTGTACTGGAGTACTCTGTCTGTGATGCTACAGATGGTTGCCCAGAGTGACAATGTTTCTGTGTAGGAATGTGAGCTAGTATACACTGTGAGTGGGAGTGAGGATATTGTGGGGGCAGGAATATGTAACTGCTTCTGGTACTTCCATGCTGTATACAGCAAAAGATGCTTCCACCCCCACAACTTCCACACCCACACAAAGGCCAGTCACAATCTGTGCATTTTGATGAACAGAAATAAAGATAATGCTATCCTTAAATTTTCTGCCTTGACTTCATGTTGGCAATAATGTGTGCATAGTGAATATGTTAGACAAGGCACATGTGCTGCCTTGCAAATATGAGGAACTCTCTGTACATATAAGAGAGAGAAAGAGAGTGAGGGGTATGGTATAGCAAGACTTTTTTCTCCTAATTTTTTCTCTCTGTCTCCAAGGCAGATTCCTGTTTCTTATCTAACTTCGCTTCCTGTCTTTTCAAGATAAGGAATACATTCTTAAAATAAATTCACATGAGAACACAAAGCAGAACTTTTCTGTTAGCAAGGAAACCTTTGCTACTTTGTTATTTAAAAACATACACACACAGTAGAAAAAAGTGTCCAGTAGCACCTTAAAGACTTAACAAAATTTGTGGTAGGGTATGAGCTTTTGTGAGTCACTGCTCACTTTTTGAGATTTTTGTTAGTCTTTAAGGTGCTACTGGACTCTTACTCTTTTCTACTGCTACAGACAAACACTAACTAATGGGTATCTTGATCTACATACATACACACACACACACACACACACACACACATACACTACTCTATTTGACCTGTATACATGATGGCTGATGGCTATCTGTGACTTATATTACATATTTTTACAACTTTTGATTGAAATCCAAAATGGATTTGTGAAAACCAGACCAATTAGAGGTGTCAGCAAATGATTCCTGTGCTTTCTGTTTAAGCAAGGTAGGGCAGCATACAGGCATTTGGGTGGAAATTACCTTTTGACTTGTGGTTTGGAAGTGACAGTGGGAGGAGGGAAGCCTTGCCAGTTCGAAGTGAACATTGTCCAATTCCCTTCTGAAAATTATTTTGCATTCTTGAAACCTCACACATATATTTGGTTGTTCAATTAAGTGTTGACTCCATAGCATTAGGCTTTGAGTGTAATGTAATTTTGGAAGTGCATTAAGTAAATGGGATGTAGCTTTTTGTCTAATAGCCAGTCTTTCAGATAAGCAAACATTAAAACACTTTCTACACTGTTTGTTCACATGTATCAAGGGACCCTGAAAACTAGGTACTTAAATAAGTGTAAATTTAGCTGTCTCTAGAAACACAGAAACTTGCCATCTGTTAATTACATAACAAACATGGAAGGAAGAAAGTAAGTATTGAGGAATCTGAAAACTATTACTAACCTCCTTCATTGTAGTTTTCTTGGGAATATAGCATCTTCTTATGAAATAATGAGCTACAATGATTTTTTCCCATTTCAATATTTTCCCTTTCCATTAACTTGCTGTGCTATTTATTTATTACAGCTTTGATCCAAAGAACAGTACATGCCCCAATTTACATGCAAGGTTTCCAAATGAATGGGTTTTCTCTTTGACTTCAATGTTGAGGCCAGTTCTATATGCAGAGTGAGGATGGCTACATGGAATGACACCCAACATCAAAGTCAATGGGAAATTTTAGGAAGGATTTTAGGAAGGATGCTGACAAGCTCGAGTGTGTCCAGAAGAGGGCAACCAGGATGGTGAGAGGGTTGGAATCCAAGTCTTATGAGGAAAGGCTGAAAGAGTTGGGTATGTTTCGCCTGGGAAAGAGAAGGCTTAGAGGGGACATGATTGCAGTCTTCAAGTATTTGAAGGGCTGTCATGTGGAAGATGGAGCAGATCTATTCTCCCTTGCTCCAGATTGCAAGACTAGATCTAATGAGTGTAAATTACAAGGGAGTCATTGCCGGCTAAATATCAGGAAAAACTTCCTAACTGTAAGAGTGGTTGAGCAGTGGAACAGTCTGCCTCAGGAGGTGGTGGATGCTCCTTCGCTGGACATTTTCAAGCGGAGGCTGGACGACCATCTTCTGGATATGTTGTAGGGCTATCTTTTGGCTATGCTCCTGCAGAGTGCAGGGGGTTGGGCTAGATGACCTGCAAGATCCCTTCCAACTCTAACATTTTATGATTCTAAGACCTTCTGATTGTAGGACTTCCATGGGCATCCACATGTATTAGGTCTCTCTGGATCAGGATGAATGGCTGCAATCTTGTTCCTTTTTAAGGTCAACAGAAGTATAATTCACAGAATTCTTTGAAGAAGTTGTGATAGTTGCAGTGTTATAAAATTTATATGTGTTCATAGTTTAGCTATGAGCTGCGGTGGCTCAATTGGTTAAGACGCTGAACTACAGGCTGTGGAAGGTCAGTAGTTCAGCAGTTCAAGACCCGGGTGCCGCAAGACGGGGTGAGCTCCTGTCTCTGGTTCCAGCTCCTGCCAACCTAGCAGTTCGAAAGCAAGAAATTGCAAATAGATAAATAGGTACCACTTCGGTGGGAAGGTAACAGCGTTCCGTGCACCTTGGGGTTTAGTCATGCCGGCCACATGACCACGGAAACGTCTTCGGACAGCACTGGCTCTTTGGCTTTGAAACGGAGATGAGCACCGCAACCCTAGAGTCGGATTCGACTGGCTTTCGAGCAAGGGAACCTTTACCTTTATTTTTACTAGAGTTCCTTTGGTGTTCTGGGGCCAGGTCTTCAGCTGAATTGCCAGCTCAGGTGTTAACAAGTATTTGAATTCTGGTCCACTTGTCCTCGCAAAGAATAGTGGTATGATATAACAAAAATGCCAGACTCTGGAGTGTGGAGAAAGAAGTATACACACACACGCATGCACGCACGCACACACACACACACACACACAGAGGCTTGAACAGCTTCAGCCAGAATCATTAGTGCAAGTCATTGCTTTTCAAATAAAGGAACAGAACTAATGATATATAATTCAGATGGCCTGTCACTGGCTTTAATGTAGCAGCGCTGATAAGTAAAGAGAATGATATAACAAACAAGCCAAAAAGGGCAAAGCTCAAAATGTCCTAGAACAGAAAATAATTCCTTATGGTATTTTAGATTTTACAAAGAGAAACTGCAACATTATACAGGGCTGTGTTGTGTGCGACATTTCTACACTGTGCAAAGTGGATGAGGTCCCCAACACGTATTACGGTTATTCACTCTACTTATCACCATTCTCCCCGTGCTTAGTGTGCACTTCTGTCCAATGTCTACATGCTAGGAACAAGCAGATGATGAAGTGGTTCTTGTACTTGTAAGGGAATGCTGGGGGCTGCAGAACACTTTAAAGTACCACTATTAAATTATATATCTACAAGAGCTCACCAAGTTGTAATAATAAAATGGACTTGACCCTTCACACCAAACTGCTATATTAAAATATAAAGAACTATGTTTCTGTCAAGTTAAATTTATATTTGTCTGCTGACTTTGTGGCACCCTAATCATGAAATTCAGCAAGTTCTGTACTAACAAATGTCTTATTAAGGATACCGCAGGGAGCAATTATTCCCTCTCCCCTTTCTGCCATTTTATAGAAGCATACATCTTACCCACATAATCTCAAAACACTCAAGAAGCAGCTTTATTATAGGGGCTTTAATTATTCAAAGGCTCTTTTCTTCCATTTGTGCCCACTCCAGCCTCTGATTAACCCATTAATGTTTAAACAAATTAGTGATTGAGATGAGCAAAGGCCTTGCAGTCTTAGGAAGACGATAGATTGGTACAGAGTATTTTAGGAATAATACAGAGGTATATCTTTAAGCTCTTGGAATTATGTATTTAGTGGCCTTACAGATGAAAACTGGGGAGCAACAGGAAGTATAAGTACCTGTTCTTCCTGTTTCTAATACCGGTCTGTATTATTAGGAATGAAACTCCTGAATCCTCTACCTAAGGGAAGATATTAAACTGATTTGGGAACAGCAAACATGTGACATCTGAGCTTTCTCTTCCCTCCATTTCACTCCATTCCATTGCATCCAAATTTCATGCTATCCAAAGTCAATATGCTTTGAGTTGGAGAACTAACCTAAAATAGTTGCACTGTGTTCCCACCTATTGCTTCTAAAAGTAAACATTGGTCCTCTGAGGTTCAGCATCCAAACTGATAACAATATTAATGTCCCAAGGTCAAGAAGGAGTAAGTCAGGTGGCCAAAGACAAGTGGTGCAATCTGAGACAGGAATGGGCCAAATTCTAGAGGCAGCAGCTAATAAGCAGATGGGCCAAATGCAAATATTGTTGTCCAAGGTAAGCAAATGGTGAAGTTCCATATGCAGCTGCTAGAGTGAAGCATTGAAGAATAAGGTCACAATCAGGTAGGTCCATCTCACCAGAAAAGAAGTGACACAGGCTAAAAAGCTGGACCTGGGCTAAGGTTTTGTAGAGCCAGGTGGTGCAGTATGGGTTCCCTGGATCACCTGCCTGTGTGCTGACTGCTGAGTCAGCTGCTATGTTTTGTATTGCTAACAACACTTGGGTAACATGGTTCAACCTGTTATTCCTTTAGTGAATCTTCTACCTCAGTAAGGCAATAAGCCTGTCCATGAGAAGTCTCCATTTGAGACTCTTGGTACCTTACAGTAAGCTAATGAGTGCCAAGGTGGTAGCAGAGGGAGGGGAGAACTATGTCAAGTTACAGGGGAATCTTTGTTTCTAACTTTAGGTCCTTCTTCAGTTATCAGCAATGACGACGATTCAGCAAGTCCTCTGCATCACATCTCTAATGGGAGTAACACTCCATCATCTTCTGAGGGCGGCCCAGATGCAGTAATTATTGGTATGACAAAGATTCCTGTAATTGAAAATCCTCAGTATTTTGGAATCACAAACAGTCAACTCAAGCCTGACACATGTAAGTAAAAGATGCTTATATGTATTCCTGTAACTTTTTTTAAAGTCTCTTAGATTGTGTCTCAGGGCTGAATTGTTAATAAAATGTGCTTTTGTGCAGGAAGAATTGGGAATTTGTAATTGTAGGCGAGTTATCAATGACTTCTTCCACGCATATAATTAACACATAAACTTATCAGATTCTGGAGGCCAAAATGTTGCTCAGTTTGAGCATTTTAGTGATTCATAAGACTGTCAAACACCGAAGGTCAAAATGTGGTACAATTGTATTGTTTTCAGTAAATTTGGTTTATCAGTTTCTCTCATACATTTAAAGATTAAGCCAGTATATTCTGTCCATTGATTTCTGCCAGTACAACTGGATCAACACATACAGGTGAATGAAGTAAGAATGAAATGATAGAGTTTTGAATGGAATGTACCTTTTCACAAACCGGGTCCCAGAAACCATATTTTAATGCTTCCCTATGTTTTAAAAAATCTCCCTATAAAAAGAAAGCTAGCAAATGAGAGGGCTGGTCTAGAACTTTTCTCTCTGATTTGTTAGTTTGTTTTACCTATGGCAAGTATATTAAGTAGAAGAATGTTCAAAACTAGTACCTGCAGTCTGAAATGGTACCATCCACTCTATCTGCAAGTGTGGTCTGTGTTTGGCTGTACTCAAAATATGTTGAGTCCATTTCATTCAGATCCTGAAAACAAATCTTGATCTGGTTACAAAAGGTAATGCATTAATTGTAAGTTAGCATTTTGTATATTTAGCAGCCAAATTAATTGTGCCCTAGCATTTTTGTGCCTATTGAAAATAAAACAAAAATTGTGATGTTTACTCAATGTTGACACTTTCATCTCCAGACCAGTCTTAGCTTGTCAAAACTGTCTGTATATATGACGGAAGTCAAGTGGCACCTTAATGACTAATACCATTTATTTCAGAATGAGCTTTTGTGAGTCAGAGTTCATTTCTTCAGATGCTAGGAAGAGGAAATCATAGTCCCCATTTTTATATGCCAAATTACAGAATGGGAGGGAGAAAGGGAAGAGTTGGGGATAGAGAAAGGCTTAGTGTGAATCCTATCATAAATCTTTCAGGTGTGATTCTCTGTGTAAGAGACTGGAATGGATAAGTTGTTATACATAATGGATAATGACATAGGTCAGAGGTTTTAGCCTCATTCTTATAGGATTCAGATAAACAAAAGTATAGTTAAGTAGTATAAACAACTAATGGAGAAAGAAGCAGTCTAAAGCATAAGAAAATTAGCTGATGTCAATAAAGGGTTATAGTTGTTACAGCATGTTAAAAGCCAATTAAAGTTTATAAAAAGGGAACCTGTTGAGCTTTTAGACATTATAGTAAGTAAGAAAACACAGCAAAATAAGATTTAGTGGTTAGTTTCTTGATGAGTTCTAATTTAGTACTTTTGCATTGTGCATTCCCTTTGAAGATGTGTGGGTTTTGATCTTTTTTGGTAGCTTTCATATCTGCCACAGTATGTGTCCCCCCACTGGTTTCTGAACATTAAGATTTCTTATGTCAGATTTGTGTTCATTGATTGTCTTACACAGGACCAACACATTTGTCCAATATAGACAATAAAAGGGCATTGTTGGCACATGATGGGTATGTATTAAATTGTATGATAAGCAAGTGGATTAGTTCGAAATGGTATACCTGATATTAGTGGGGTTTTAGTATAAGGTGTTTATATGTCCATTGCACTGTTTCAGAGTGGTGATGGACATATTGTATATAGGCCAGCATTCAAGTTTCAGTGAAATGAACCTCTGATTTTTGAACTAAATGTGTGCATTTGGATATTTCATTTCAGAGCCAACATTATACACAAAATCTGCTGTTTCAGGTCAGTTTGGCCATATTTGAAATGGCAAAAGGCACTCCCCAAGATTTCAGTTTTCTGAAAGCCACAACCTGAAAAAGTTCGGTTTGTTTCAGCTTTTGGTTTCTAATGGGCCATAGATCTGGCATCCAGACTCCAGATGCTAGGTCTACTGCCACTTTTTTCCAAATATCATAATTTAATCCATAAATACCAGAAAACATGCAATTCTGGCACATCACAGAGAAAAATGTGAAATTCTCTGAGGCTGAGTTGCCACAAGATGTTTTATAATTTCAACATCCTAGCAAGAAAATCTATGCAGTTCTGTGCTTCTGTTTCTTCTCTTTCATGTTTGGAAGTATTTATATGTTATTGTATAAACTGCTGGAGTGAAAACAATGGAGGTAAACCTGTCATCTGGAGTTTTGATGCCAGGTATACCATCCACTGAAAATACTGGCCATAGATCTGGCATCTGGACAAAGGCCAGTGTTACCTAGGGCTACCAACCCCCCAGTGGGGGTGAGGGTATCCCTGGTTTTGGGGGCCCAGTCTGCCATCCCCAAACAGTCCCGGCATGCCCGATGTGCCCAGTGCAATGACATCACCTGGAAGTGATGTCACTGCACTAGGCACAGTGTTTGGGGGACATTCTAGTATTCAGGTAAATACTCTATGGTCAGAAGAGTCTCAGAGCTTGCCTGGAGCCCCCTACCAGGATTTAGGTAAAACCTGGCAACCCTAGTGCTACCAATATTCAGTATTCCCCCTGCCCAAAAAATCAGAAAAGATGACCTAAAACAGCATTAGTACTCTCAAAATTTCAGGAAAACAATAATCATGCCCTTTCTGAAATATCAAAATGAAATTAATACAAATCTTTTTGAAGGGCACATTCCATGTTGAATTACAAAAGACTTCAAACTTTGGTTGCAGCCTGTAAAACCTAAAATATAGTAAGAAATAATTTGGAATGTCCTTCGGCTGCCATCTATGCTTATACTGTATTTCTGGAGCCATTCAGACCCTACCTGGAGTATTTTAGTATCTATTTTTTAAAAATCCCTGTTAATCTCCATTTCATGTATAGTTATTTTTCAGTTTCAGTTTGTGCATCCTGCTTTTCTGTGTACCTTCCAGTTACTTTTTAAGGCTTGCCTATCCTTGGAAGTTTTCCATAGTTGAAAAGGGTAACTACATGTAATGTGTGTGATTCTTCTAAAATTTTTACTATAGTAGGACCATGATCAGCTTTGGGCAGTTTTCAGTGGAAAAACTGGCAGCATTGTCTGAAATTTTAAAAAGTTGGTCAAAAGTATTGCAGAACTATTTGTAATTTATTTTTATTTTATTTTATTAAACTTCTGAATTGCCCACCCTGCAGAGCAGGCTCTGGGTAATTAACAACATTTTAAACATTTAAAAATACATTGATATATAGTTAAAATTACTGATAGTAACAAGAAATTAAAACCCATCAAGATGGTGATATAAACCTCCATTGCCGATCATACTGCTGTCTCTGTACAGCAGAGCAGGGATGGGTATGTGGAGGCCATAGAAGAAAAAGGAGAGAGGGTGTCTTAACCTCTCATTGCTGCCCCCAACTAAAAGCCTGGCGGAACATCTCTGCCTTACAGGCCTTGTGGAATTGCATCAGATCCTGCAGGGCCCTGATATTATTTGGCAGAGAGTTCCACCAGGTTGGGGGCAGCTGGACCTCTCTAGGGCCGGGGATCACCAGCCAGTTGTTATCAGCTGGTCTCAGCATTCTTCTAGGGACATATGGAAGGAGACGGTCCCAAAGGTATGTGGGTCCCTGACACCTTAAACCTGACTTGGTACTCCACCAGTAGCCAGTGTAGCTGGCACAGCACAGGTTGTATATGTGCTGTCCATGGCATTCCTTTTCCTGTCAGGACTCGCCCCACTGCATTCTGTATTAGTTGGAGCCTCCAGGTTAGTCTCAAGGGCAGGCCACTGTAGAGCGAGTTACAGTAGTCCAGCCTGGAGATGACTGTTGCATGGATTACTGTGGCTAGGTTGGGGCATGACAGGAAAGGGGCCAGCAGCTGTGCTTGACGTAGATGGTAAAATGCCAACCTGGTTGTATTTGTGACCTGTGCCTCCATAGGCAAGGAGGCATCCAGGGTCACACCCAGACTCCTGACGGAATGTGCTGATATCAACGGTGCCCCGTCAAGAGCCGGGAGCCTGAACCCCAACCCCGAAGCCTCCCTCTGCAGCCACAGAACCTCCATCTTCCCCAGATTCAGCCTCAGCCTCCTCTTCCTTAGCCATCCCGCCACAGCCTCCAAAACCTCAGTTAGATGTTGTGGGGCAGTATCCAGATGGCCATCCAAGAGCAGTTACAGCTGGATGTAGTTATACCCCCAAGATCCATGTACAAGTAGCCAGCTAACTGTAACAAGCTAGGAGGGTCATAGCTGTAGTGATTTTTGATATGAGAGCATTGTGTGTAAAAGTGTATTGCTATATAAGAAGCAGCCTGTGCACATTTCACCTTGGAATGAACTTTAATTTTCATTCACTGCAGTTAGAAGTCAGGCCATGGCACTGCACTGAAGTAATCTGCAGGTGTTGGGATGGATGGCAATATATTAAAATATTATTCTCTCTTGGACCCATTTGTAGAATTTGAAATCCTAGAAGGCTGAGGGCTATCCTTGCTCTAAAGTTTCCTTCCTCAGTCTGTCCCCCCCCCCAGTTCTAGTGAGAGACACCACATGCTCATTCTAGGCCTTCTCACCTTTCACTACGACTTTTGTAGTCCTCTGCTTCATTCATGAACATTTCAAGCTGTTACTGTTACAAAACTGAAACACAGAGAAGGAGGGGGAAGACAATTAAAACATTTCATAGTTATTTATATCTTAAATAACTTATTTATAGGCCAGAACCTCTCACAACCACTAAAAACCTGTAATGTAAGATTGTGACCACCATTTTAACGTATATGATAGTTTTAAATATTGTAATTATATATTCTATTAATGAAATGTTGCTTTGTATTGTTAACATGTTGTTACCCACCCTGAGCTCATTCGTGGGAGGGGTGGGCTATAAATATGAAGAAATAAATGAATAAATCATTGCAAAATAGCAATATTAAATACTAGGAATACGACTCGTTGTG